TTTTTTTTGTCCCTTCGTGCAACTTGACCAACGATTTATCACCGTTTCATTGTGTACACTTGCTCGATTATGCTTGAAGCATTTTTCTTCGCTCTCTCTCTCTCTCTCTCTCTCTCCGCTCGCGCGCACCAAATGTTTCGACCTCGATATTTCGATACAGCCGCGCGAAAATCTCGACCCCATCGATACGTGATCCGGGAACAAAAGTACAAGCGCGTTCGTCGCGAATGTTGTGTTGATGCGCGGCCCAAATGCCAATTTAATTTTTCCCCTTCGCGCGGATACTGTTTCACTCCTCGCCCCTCCCCTGTGTCTGGCCATCGGTGGCACTCGAAACGTACCGCGAATAAAACTGACTGTTAATGCGTTATTTATACCGGGTGATCGTCGACACACGCGGATGAGAAAATGTTGCACGCGCGATTCGAGGCGTTAGGGTTGAAAGCCACCAACGTTAGGGAAAAGAACAGTGCTTCATAGTGCACGAAGTGAATCTCTCTCTCTTTCTGTCTCGCTGCTTTTTTGTTTTTTATTTTTCGTAGATTGAAATTTTTGCGAATTTACGAGAAGTTTAAGAAACCGAGCGTAGATTTGCAAAGTTTGCACAATGCGCGTAAATATTGGAATCTCTCGAGCAAACTTCCCGCGTTCTTGTGGCGTGTGGAGGACGAAGCGAATCCCTTTAGCTGAGGGAGGGGCGTAAAAATTTGCATAAAGATCCATTTGCGGTTTAACCACTGTAGATCTCACGCTGGGAAACTGAGAGTTTGCCCTCGCGTACGTGATTTTCGTTTACCTGCGCAAACACACGTAGATTTAGAAATCAATCGCCCGCTTTAAACGTTTGCGATTTTAAATTTCCTCATTTTCAACGAGGCATAGTGCGAAAATTTATTTGTTGCTTGCAATGAAACAAACATTTATTAACGGTAACCCATAAGTAATGTTTCCTACAAATTTAATAAACATTGCCATCTAGTGACAATTTAACTTTTTTACGACACAACTTATATTCCAACACTTTTTTATGTACATATAGTACACAGGACCGTTTCTCTATTTTCAACGAAACATTTAAAAATGTATTTTCTCTCGCAATGAAACGAACATTTATCTTTTCACGTACGTGCATATAACCGTTTCTTATTTCCAACGAAACGTTTGGAAATTTACTTTCCTTGCAATGAAACAAACGTTTATTTCTTTTTATGTACACACGTAGAGCCATTTTCTCTTTAAGTAATATCAAACTTAATCATAAAGTCTTGCTTTCAACAGCGACGAACGTGATGGTACAGATTGTTACTTGTTGTCTTGTACCTTTGGTCACTGATTAATTTCAGGTTCTCGAAACAGCCAGCCGAACGGTTACACGCCGCGACTTGGCCGCGAGAACGACGTGGACCGAGCCGGCTGCAAATGATCTCCGAGGATTTCCACGCCCGCCCCCCGTATGGAACCCACGCGATCCGATCTAACGTATCTCTATCCGGTGACCAGCTGCCCGCAACGACGCCAAACGAACTTCCCTTAATCCTTAAACCAGGAGGTTTTATCACAGATAAAAACAGAACACGAGCGACACACAAATTCACGAAACATTGTCGTTCGACGAATTTATCAAACATATTTCCCCGCATGTAACGTTGGCCCATTGAATTTTCGCTGACGCACGAACGAGGGTAATAAAGCTGGTAAAACGATGTTTCTTTCTGAATGTGCCTGAAACTCTTTCTGCTCGACGAAACCCATCCCAATTTCTCTTCACCAAGAAATTTCCTTCCATCCTTTTCGTCGATACATCGATTCGGAATTTTCGTGGCTTCTTTCGGAAGAGAGAAATCGCTCGCCCGCGAATCAAGAACGCAGGCATTTTCGGTTCCTAAATTTCTGTTGCCAGAGGAGCCAAGAGGAGAAGTTCTCTCTCTTGCTTGCGCCATTAAACACTTGCGCTGGCAACTCACTGCGGACCGTAACGAGCGACCGAACCGTATACGATAATTCGTCGCTTTCTTTTTCTTGAACTCGTCGTGCTATGATATCACTGGATAGAAATTACTGAGAAATAGTAAACTTATTCTTTGATTTCCCTACTTTGTTTTCCTTAAATATACTTGAAACTGAGAAAATACTATAATTTTAGGACAAAAAAAAATTGTCGACGTGCGTGGCACGTCATTGCAGCGCAAGAGGTTAACCACTTGCGCTGACAAGTAATTGCGGACCGTAACGAGTGACCAAACCGTATACGATAATTCGTCGCTTTCTTTTTCTTGAACTCGTCGTGGTTTGATATCACTGGATAGAAATTACTGAGCAGTAGTCAATTTATTCTTTGTCTTCCCTATTTTGTTTTCCTTAAATATACTTGAAACTGAGAAAATACTATAATTTTGGGACAAAAAAAAATTGTCGACGTGCGTGGCACGTCATTGCAGCGCAAGAGGTTAACCACTTGCGCTGACAAGTAATTGCGGACCGTAACGAGTGACCAAACCGTATACGATAATTCGTCGCTTTCTTTTTCTTGAACTCGTCGTGGTTTGATATCACTGGATAGAAATTACTGAGCAGTAGTCAATTTATTCTTTGTCTTCCCTATTTTGTTTTCCTTAAATATACTTGAAACTGAGAAAATACTATAATTTTGGGACAAAAAAAAA